CTTACATCACCTCCACTTACCAGTAATGCCTACCATTTCTCTCTACCTACCAGGGAAAGCAAGACTGGTGAACAAGCAGTCTCAGACCTGGTTGGAACAGGTAAACTCTTAGCACTGTGAGTTTTTCTTCTTTTTCCCCTTGTTCCTTTTTCCCAAGTTCTTTTGGGAGAAGTAAAGCTAATGTGAGTATCGGTAGAGTTTTGTTATTACTGCTTTGGCTCACTTCTAACCAAAAACATGAGTTAAAGTAGAAGAACCTAACTTGACTCACATGCCCTATTTTAGCTATGTCTCCAAATACTTCCTGTATATGGAGAGCTCTTTATTTATTTGTGTTTGTTTTGTTTTTTCCTTCACTTTTGTTGAGATATAACTGACATATAGCACTGTCTAAATTTAAGGGATACAGCTTAATGATTTGACTTACACATGTGAAATGATTACCACAATAAGTTAACCTCCATCATCTCAAATATTCAATAGATGCAAAAAAATAAAAGGGCCTCTTTCCTTGTGATGAGAACTCAGACTCTATTCTCAATAACTTTAATGTATACCATACAACAGTGCTAACTAATCATCATGTTGTACATTACATCCCAGTACTTATTTTATAACTGGATGGTTGTATCTTTTGATCACCTTCAACCAATCCCTCCACCTACACAGAGGGCTTTTAAAAATGTATATAACATCTGTGGTCAAAAGCTGACTTAAGCAATTTATAGTAGACAGAATAATGGCCACCCAAAGATGTCCCTGCGCCACCCTCCCATCCCCAGAATGTGTGAATAAATTAGATTACATGGCAAGGGGGAATTAGAGTTGCCTATCAACTGATCTTAAAATAGTGAGGTGATTCTGGATTATCCAGGCAGGCTCAATGTAATCACAAGGGTCCTTAGAAGTAAAAGAGGAAGGCAAGAGAGTCAGAGTCCAAGGGATATGTAACTATGAAAAAAGTTCAGAATTACAGCATATGAGAAGGACTCAACCCACCATAACTACATCTGAATGTGCAGGAAGGGGCCAATGGGCCCAAACGTCACCTCTGGAAGCTGTAGAAGGCACAGAGATGGGTTCGTCCCTAGAGCCTCTAGAAGGAAACACAACTCTGCCAACGCCATTTTTGCCAGTGAGATTTGTGTTGGAATTCTAACCTGCAGAACTCTAAACTAATGAATTTTTGCTATTTCGAGACACTAAATTTCTAGAATACTAATACAAATACCCATCATGCCTATCCCCTTAAGGTGCCAGGAGCAGAGTATGGAGAGCAGTCTCACTGGTATTTTTTTTTTTAAATATGTGGTTTAAAAAGCCCACAGCTGGACCTATAAAAACTCCTTACTGGCTATCATCTCAGCCTTTGGAAACTCCTTCTTTATCATCCCCTGCCAATTAAACGATCTGGTGAGTACTGCAATGAACAGGATCCTTTCTCTAACATTTGTTGAGAAGGAATAAGATTCTGTTGGAAATATTTAGCACATAAAGAAAATGTTCAAAGACGCTAGCTGTAATTCTTAACCATTGGAAACATCCAAATCTGTTGAAGTGGGGCTTTAACACCAACAGATTCTCTAACAAAAATTCCAGAGGAATTACAGAGAAAGTTCTTCCCTAATCTGTTGTTTTATCACCAAATTATCACATAGCTCTTTGCTTAAATAGAACATTTCATGTCTAATGTAGTGGTTCTGACTGAGTCCTGCTCATTAACTGGGAGTAATTAAAAATATGCTTGCTCAGGTCCAAATTTGGAACAATTAAAACAGAATGAGCGAGGTGAGGCCCAAGCCAGAATATCTTTTTTGAAGCTCCCTAGATGGTACCAGTATAAAGTGAAGGTTGAGAACTCCTGACAAAATGGTTATGTATGTCAGAAACAACAGATTTTAAAGTAAATAGTTCTGATAAAGGGATAAGATAGTGCACAATATAAACAATGTTACAGAACCAAATGTACAAGTAGACTTGTTCTTGCCCACTTATAAAAGATACTTGAAATAATCCCCCGTAGGAACAAATATGCTACTATAAAAAGATTTAGGATTTATTTATAAAAGGGTCACAGAAAGTACATATAATTGATTAATAAACTGTGACTATTGCCCATTATTCTCAGAGTCTATGGGCCTCTTTCCAAAATTAGGAAATATATCTGCAGTGAGAGAAGAAAATATATAATATCTGGAAATCTCTTGTGAAAAATTCCCCTTAGTTTAGCAAAGTTTTTGCTTGCTTTAAAACATTTTCCTTAAAAAAAAAACCTCTAAGAAACTTGTTTCTAAGAAAACAGTCTATGAAACAGTTGCCTGAGTAAAACAAAAGAATATTGTTCTTGGAATTACTGTGGCTCCACTAAATCTATCGTCATAGAAGTAATGGAGTCATAAGAAATTTGACTGCATTGTCACCATGCTCTGAAGCCCAGGACTGTATTGTCTGAGAATTTTCAATTCTTCCTGGAAGAAAAGATATAAATAGGATGGACAAAAGTCAGGTGTTAAGCAGAGATAAGCTACTACTCTTAGGCACATGGTGGACAGATAAAAAGTTAGTAGGGCATATACTTGAGAACATAGAAAAGGCTGGAATGACCAAGAGATGTTTAATATTCATGACTCACTAAACATACTAAGAGGCACTAATATTCATTAAGCATTATATACTCACACACTAAATATACATGAGACATTCAACATTCACAGGTCTTAGTTCTGCCACCTAGTGGTGACAGTCATACTGTGTCCCACATGTCCTGCTCAAGCAGTGCAAAAGCTACTGCTGTGGAAATTCTCGCCAGTGCATTGCTCAAATAGAGCTAGTGTTTCATTGGCTTAGGCACCTTCCGTCTCTGGTCCCTAGCTCCAACCTCAACTCCGGTCCAATTACAATACCATCAACAAGAAGGCCAATGTGCCAAAGAGAGACAGGGCATATCTAGTACACTGCATAACCACAGGTTTCATTTAATGGGTCTTACCATCTTATTTTTATCCTATGCTAAATATGTTCATTTTCTCCCCCCTACCCCTGTGCTTTTCATGATGTCTTAGTCTTTCTTTCGATGACCTCTAGGACAGCTCACCTGGTAGTATATTTGGTGGGTATCGCTGTATTGTGGTAATTTCTCACACAACATGAAACAGGTAATACCTGGGTACTACTCAGCATTTTATGTTACAAAAATTTAACAACGAATACCTCTTTTGCCTAATATCCTATAATTTTCAACTCTTTGTACCACAAAGAATGCCTCTCCTTGAGTGTAGATTTTCCTGGCAACGAGAGAATCTCTACATTTGGCAGGTTCTAAGATATGTCCTTAGAAGAACTTTTAATCTTTAGGCTTTCCAAATAAATCAGATTAAGAATTTTTAGAATATTCATTATAGTAGGCTATAGTTTAATTATAAGAAGCTGAATTCCTTGTTCCTGAAAAGGTCACTTGAATGGTCTTTTGATTAATGCACGTATTGGGTGACTAGGCCTCATTGTTTCAGGATTTAGATAGCAAGAACTTTTGGAGGGTTTTTTTGGCCTGCTTGTTAACGAAACCTAGTGCATTAACTCCTATTTTTTATGCAAGGCCTAGCCACAGGGAAGGCCAAAAATGATTCTGAAATAAAGTTACATTGAGAAAAACCTGAATCCGAAAGTGTGACCTGAATCTGTGAGGCTGTCAGCTGGTGTAAACAGGTATGAGCTGAAAAAGCTGGTACTCAAGCCTTATAAAGCATAAAACCCTCTTAGGTGAGGGTATTATTACAAAGAGGGTTTCCTTTTCTCATTAACAGCAACCCCCCCCTCCCAACTACTGTAATGGGGAAGATAGGGGCACTCTCTCATCACCTGTGTTAGGTGGCTGTGCATTTGAGAACAGTGACTCCATCTTCCTTTCTACTACTTTTTGAACTGGAAAACCTACAACTGTTACCTTTTGCCTCTTCAACCACTGTATTTTAGGAGTACTGGAAGCGGATAACTTGGCCCTTTAGTTTCACAGACCATAATAGTATTCTGATTGTGTTGAAAAGATTGTTATTTTTAGTAGATGCATACAAAAGTATACAGGGGGTAAAGTATTATGTCTACACCCTACTTCCACATGCTTCAGGGGGCAAAATACACCCAAATATAAATGACGCAAATATGGCAGCTTTATTGAATCTAGGTGACATCCTGTCATGCCCACGATGCAAACCGTTCAATATCATATTCACTTATAATAAGTTGAATTTACACTTTGAAAAAAGGTATATATTTTCTCCAAAATATATATTTTGCCAGCATTATTTCTGAAAATGCATAATGGCTAAATTTGGGGTATCGGTTTTCTTTACTTGTACATTAGGCACAAAGCCTGCAGCGACGTACAAGGCAACGTGACCCCATTGCATTCCCTGCCTGCGACCTGTGAGCACAGACGACACGGGCTGCTCGTCTGAATTCCACGGCCCACATTTCTCACGGTCTAAGAGTTAGTTACTAGCACTCGGCGACGGCTGCATTTGGTTTTCAGTCTCTGGATCGACGCCTGCCGGCCTTTCAAGCGCTGCTCTGGGACGCTGTCTTCTCTCCCCAGCGTGGAAGTGCAGCTCCTCGAGGGCGCTGTTGGAGGCGCGCGTCTCTAGACTTCGGAAACACCTTTTCCGGAGGCAGCCGCCTCCAGTCCCTTCACGAGGTCACCAGCGGGGCAAACAGCAAAAAGGAGTGACGCTAGCCGACCCACAGGAAAAGCTTCACACCCAGAGCGGCCTCCTGCCGGGTGCTCCCCACTCCCGCGGCCGGTTCCTCCTAGCGCCCCACCCCCTGTCTCCGCATTGCCCAATAGGCGCCTTTGCGGAGCTGGCTTGGCCGGAGGAGGAGGAGGTGTTGGGGCGGCCGGACGCCGAGCGGCCGTTCACGTCTACGCGGTGACGTCACGCGCCGGCGCACCTGTCGGGCTGTGGATTTTTTTGCGGCTTTTCTTTCCCTTCCGTGGGTCGGGGCCGCTCTGTTCCGGAACCAGCGGCACCTTTCCTGTAGTCTAAGTTCGCTAGCGGCTGGAATCCGGCTGCCTGTTGAGGGAGGAGGGTGTGGTGGGTTGAACGCCATTCTACTAAATCCTGAGTTAGACCATGGATTCAGTTTTAGTCTCTTAAAAAGAAAGTGATGTTGGAGGTTATTTTTAATTTGGGGTAGCAGCAGGTTGACCCCAGGGCCCAACGCAAGGTGATTTAACTTTATGCTGCTCCTGTGTTTGGAGGAGGACCAAAAAAAAGTCCCACCTGGCAAAATTTCCATAACCTCTTCAGTAGAAAACTCCAGGTATTTAAAAAATTGCGATAGTTCTTGTTGTGTCAAGCTTCTTCAGGTGGAGCTCCCAGGGTTAGCTAGGTTTTGGGTTTGAAACAGATGCAGAGTCCAAAGGCAGTGCAGAAAACAGCCAACGATTTTGCTATGCCTCTGAGCTGCAAGGTGAGTTGCATTCTGTGAGTGAAAATTCGTTAGCTGTCCTGTTCACGGTTTTTGGGTCAACTGTGATGCCAAGGCTGTTATCTTGGTTTATGTATAACAAATGTACCTACATGATGTTAAATCGACGCCGATGAGCTATATACCCTCGAACACACTGTAATATTTCACCCGTTTGGTCCAGGGGACATCGAGGGACCTTTGAATAGAATGGAAGTAGGTTGCAGGAAAAGATTAAACTTGAACTCAGAGAGTGGGATTTACTTTCTCTAAATTTGCCCAAATTTGAAGTACATATCGAGTTTTAATTTCTTTAGGTTGATGTGTATATGTAAAACGTTTGTATTTTGATCTTGGACCAGAAGCTTCCTTAGAATGTCAAATTAATTTTGCATGTGCTTCGTTTGTGTAACATTTTAAAACTGGAACACATAGAAAACAATTACATTTATATATGAACATTTATTACAATTGAGTCAACAGTGAGCATACCAGGGTTTGGGGTGTTTTTTTTTGGTAATTCAGAAGTTCATTTCTGCAAACTATGTAAACTTTTTTGATCTATGCATTCAGTTACTGCACTATCATTGTGGCTTGTGTCATTGGTTATTAAATCTTTCCAAAAATGATTTTTTCATCTTCAAAGAGCTAATTTAGAAATTTTTTCTTGATGAGGTTTGTATGGAAGTGATTTAACCAATGTCAGTTTTATGTGCCTTATTCTGCATTTATATACCTTATGTGATCACCACATGTTTAATAACTCAAAGACTTTGATTCTTTGCTTGAAAAATGGGTCAAATGATTTAGGAGAGTGTCTGAATGCTTAGTACGTACATCGTTACTTGGAAGTTGTTCTAGCATGTGTTTTCAACAATATGGTGCTTGATAGGAATGCAAATATTTAACCACATTTTGGATGTAGACAGTTCAGGGAAGCAGATTTGCTGAGGTTATGATTTTTGTTAGTAAACTGGCATTTTTTCAGGTCACGTTGGTGTTTTGGCTTTCCATTTCCTGTTGTGACATGATAGTAATAATTTTCAGACCTCTCAGGAAGCCAGATTTGATCTCTGTGGTGGGTCATATATCAAAGCAGTATCCAGTGTATCCTATGGGTTTTGGCTACTATGACTGCTTTGTAGAACTTTCAGCTAAGTTTCTAATCAAACTTGTTAGCAGTGATCTAAAACTTAAGACATAGTAAGTGTTAATACTTGTTGAGTGAATTCTGTGATGCAGGATCTTTCCTAAGTGGTTTTTGTAGATTACAGTATCTCAGTTCGCACACCAACTCCATGAAGTAGGCCCTTTCCAGTGTTCCTATTGTACCAATGCAGAAACTGAGGCGTACAGGATTTAATTAATTTGCCCAAGGATTCAGTAAGTGTTAGAACTGAGACTGAAGCCTGGCAGTATGACTTCAGAGCTCTTGCTCTCAATGGCCACATTATAATGCTGGCAAGACTAATTAAAATGCTACAAGAAAAGATAGGATGAGAGAGGTGGCTGGGTTAATTTATTTTTCAGTTATAAAAGTAATTACAGAAACTCTGGAATTCTTTTTTTCTTTAAAACTCTCATTCTCCCACTCTAATAAACCCTGTTTTTGCATTTTTGTCATATGCACATTCACATAAACACTGTACCTTTGATTCATTTTGGTTGTTAAAGATAAGTGTTTCTTAGTTAAATATAAAATGGAGGATGAAAGCATGTGGGGAAACTGGCCATCCGCATTGCTAAAATATGGAAAGATTTTGATCTGCAACTTTGGCACCAAATTAAATATATTTCTTGACCTCATGGGAAGTAGTCGAACATTTTGTCTTGTAAAATTGTGAAAATTACTTGGTTTTCAAAGTGTAAGCCTTCCATGGCACCTTTTTATTGGATTTTGTTTACTTTTTTCCCTTGTTATAGTCTGAGCCTTGTATTTGTGTGTTTATCCTTTTAAAATCATCTGGCATTTAACTTTGGCATGGCTCTAATATTCTTTATGAATCAAGGAAATTTTCTTCAGAGTAGACAACTACTTCCTTTAGGAGTTATCCATTTCATACCTTTTTGAAGAAAAATATAAGGCATAGCAATTTGGACATCCAGCTAACTTAACAGTTCATATTAACAGTAATCAGTAAATGACAGTAATCAAGTAATGTTAACTTTTGGGAGAAATCAGTTATAAATCGACAGTTTGTGTCAATAAATTCTTAACTACTGTGATGTCACAACCTGAGTGTCATGACGTTGTGCCATGGTAAAATCAATTTGAGAAGCTTTTCACAATTTTTGTTTAGGAAGTTAATGCTCATCACAGGTTTTCTCAAGAATCATTCTTACACTGTTAACTATTGCAGTTCTAGATGCAGATATGCTTTATTACTCATGCTTATTTGAGCATGAAACCATTGACTGGATTTGTGCTCTGTGCACATCCTCATCTCCAAGTGTATTTGTTGCCTTCTTGGCTCTATAGTTTGATGCAAGCCAATACTTTTGCTTTATTTAACAACCTCTTCACCCATTTCTGCCCCATAAAATCCCACTGACCTTTTAAGGTCCAACTTATGCATGTTTTTTCCAAAGAAGGTTTCTCATCATCAAATACAGTGGAATATGATCTTTTTTCTGAGCTCTTGTAACAATTCTTGTGTCTTCTGTGATACGTCATACATTGCCTTTTATTATGTAGATGTGTAGTAATTTATGGGAAAATATCACATCCCTTTTGGGCATGGTAAAGTAATTTATATTGAAGGTTACTGAAAGCTGTAAGTTGTGTACAAATATGCTATTAATAATAGAAATTGTGTTAATATTTTTTACAATTTCTGGTACATTAGTAGCTGTTCTATAAACATTAGTAAATGAATAAATTATTGTTTCAAGTTATTGTCACATTTTAATGTGTTCAGTACTTAGCATATTTCTTAAAATGAAAACTCTTCTTATATTAAAATGCTTCTTCCTTACCATTTTAAAGATTTCTTCTTTACTATTCCCTACATTTTATTAGTTACCATATCCTCTTAAATATTTCTCAGAATCTTTCTACTCCTCCAAGTTGCTATGCCTTATTTCAGTATGTCCTTGATATTTTATATATTTGGAATTGTTTAAGGGTCCACTATAATAAGGATCACCTCACCTAACTTCTCTCCCTATCTTTAGCCTTCAGTCTCTTGCCCTTCTATCTGTCTTTCACAGTACTGCCAGCATTGGTCTGCTAAAGTTCATATCTGATGTGTGGTTTCTCTCTTCAAACTTTTAATGGTTTTCTAAGTGTATAAATGAGCAAAAATGAAATGAGTTCCTTAGCATGACGTGAGTTGACCTGGCCTGTATTCATCTCTCCCACTACTCTTTAGTCCCCTTTTTCTTCTCTTCCATAAGCCCAAACCTAAGCAGGTTTTGTTACTATGCTGCTGTTTTTGCACATTTTTTTTGCCTATATTGACTCTATTTATACTTAGACCAGGTAACTCATTCTTATTATTGAGTACTCAACAGAAACCTTCCCTCTGTTACTACCTGTTCACAAATTTTCCCAGGCAGCATGCTATTGCTTTTCAGTGTTAATTATCAAATACCTTGTGCATAGCTCTCCGGTGGTACTACTCACACACTATGCTGTGGTTATTTGTCTGTCTTTAACTTCACTGCCTTGGGAACAGGGAGCATATCTTACTTATTACCCCAGCACCTGGCTTTGTGCCTGGTATATGTTCACTGATGAGTAAATGGTTGTTAAATGAATTAGTAAGCATCTCTGAAAACTAACTTCGGCTACTAGGTAGATGGTGATCCTGTAAACTCCTATGGGGAGATTAGGAGGGCAGGTAAGTTTGGGGCAAATACTTATTCAGTCTTGCTGAATTTGAGTTCCCATATGACATCTAAGTAGAGGTGTGCCATGAATTTGTTATGCATTTGTTATTCATTCATGCTAGAAATGTTAATTGACCCAGAAAGATTTTGTAGATATAGACTAGATTATTCTAAAATTCATATAGAAGGGCAAAGAACCTAGAGTAGCTAATATAATTTTGAAACATAAAAATAGTGAGAAATTAATATATCCGTTTTCAGAACTTATAATTAAGACGGTAGTATTGCTGTAGAGGTACATAGATCATTGTAACAGAACAGAGAATGCTGAAGTAGACCCACACAGATATGCACAACTAATTTGGGCAGAGGCACAGAAACAATTCAGTAGAAGAAAGATAACTTTTTTAGCAAATGATGCTGTAAGCAATTGGACATCCATATGTCAAAAAACAGAATAAGTAAACAAAAAAACCCAAAACAAATCTCAAGCTATGTCTTAAACCTTATGTCAGAATTCACTTTCAGTGGATCATGGAGTTAAATGTAAAATATAAAAGTATAAAACTTAGAAAAAAATTCAGAAGAAAATCTTTGCGAGGTGGGTTCTTAGTTTTCATACCACAAGCATTGTCCATAAAGGAAGAATTGATAGATTAAATTTCACTAAAATTAAATACTATTGATCTGTGATAGGCCTGCTTAAAAGGAATAAAAGCTACAGAGTGGGAGAAAATGTTCACAAACAGCATATCTGACAAAGGACTAGTACCTAGGATATATATTTTAAAATATAAAACTCGGCAGTAAAAAAGCAATCCAGTTAAAAAATGGGCAGGAGATATGAGCAGTCGTTTCGTTGAATAGGATATGGAGATAGCAAATAAGTGTATAAAAATGTTCAACATTATTAGTCATTAGGAAAATGTAAATTAAAACAACGAGAGATCACTATACACCTATTAGAATAGCTAAAATAAAAAATAGTGACAACATCAAGTGCTGGTAAGGACATGGTGAAACTGTAAAACCTATACATTGTTTGTTGGAATATAAAATTGGCAGTTTCTTAAAAAAACGAGATGTGTTCCCTGGCCGGTGTGGCTCAGTGGATTGAGTGTTGGCTTATGAACCAAAAGGCCACTGGTTCGATTCCTGGTCAGGACACATGCCTGGATCTTCATTGGGTGAATGGTTAAATAAACTGGTACACCCATACCATGGAATACCACTCAGTGATAAAAAGGAAAGAATGATTGATACATACAACGACCTACATGAATCTAGACAATTATTCTGACTACAAGAAGTGAATCCCAAAAGTACCATAATGAATGGTTCCATTTATGTGACATTCTTTTTTTTAAGATTATATTCATTTTATTTTTAGACAGAGGGGAAGGGAGGTAAAAAGGGAGGGGAACATCAATGTGTCATTGCATCTCACGTGCCCCCCCCACCAGGGACCCAGCCTGCAATCCAGACACACGCCCTGACTTGGGATTGAACCTGTGACTCTTTGGTTCACAGGCCGGCGTTCAATCCACTGAGCCACACCAGCCAGGGCTATGTGACAGTCTTTAAATGGTGAACTTACAGAAATAGAAAATAGATTACGGGTTGCCATATGTTAAGGAAGAGGTGGGAGGGGTGCTGGAAGAATGTGGTTGTAGCTGTCCAAGGACAACAAGAAATGGAAATGCCCTGTATTTTGACTTTATCAATGTCAGTATCCTGATTGTGATATTATGCTATAGTTTTACAAGTTACTATTGGTAACTAAGTAAAGGGTACGAGGATCTCTCTATATTATTTATTACAACTGCATGTGAATCACAATTATCTCAAAAAGTTTCGTAAGAAAAAAAATAAAGAAGTGGTATGTGCCAGTTGCTGTGCAAACGATTGAACATGTAATGTTGAGCAAAAAGTGACACAGTGCCAGACCTCATGATACATTCTAGAAGGGAAGACAGACATTATTTAAATAATCACATAAATAAGTACAATATTACAACTGTGATAAGTGCCAAAAAAGAGAAAAGGAGAGCTGTAAGAAGTAACAGTGAAAATCTGGTTTGGTCAGGAAAGGTCTGCCCAGGTAGTAAGTAGATGAAGGGAGATTTTCCTTACTAGCTGCATGGTTTGGGCAAGTTATTTAAACTCTTTGTGCTTCAGTCTCCTCCTCTGTTAAATGGGAATAATAATAGCACCTAAACTTTAGGGTTGTGATTGCATTAAAGACAAATATCAAATGAGTTAATTTGTGACCCGTATAGGTTAGTGCTTAATGTAAACTTTGTTTAAGAATTTGTTAAATGAATAAAGGGATACTTGTCCTGAAGTATGAGCAGGAGAGTTGATTAAAGAGGAGAAGGAGGCAGAGGAATCAATAAAAGTAGAGGCTAGAGACAGGAAAGCCTGGTAGGACTGAGAGAAAGATTAGTGAGCCAAGAATACTGCAAGAGGTACACGCTAAAAAAAAAAAATGGAGCTGGAGAACTAGGCAGAGGCCAGGCTGCATAGGGCTTTGTCAGTTAGTTGCCTCTTGTCTGCTAAGGGTGGTGAGAAATGATTAAGACTAATCTCTCCCAGTGGGAGAGATTACTGGTCAGACTTGCGTTTAGAAAAGACCACACCGGCTACCATGTAGAGCTCGCAAAGATCATGCCAGAATTTAACGTGGCAAACCAGGCTTTATCCCTGGAGATTTTCATCAGTTTATTGCTATAATCTTCATAACTCTCCAAAAATATTTGCAAGCTCTTATGTGTCTATCATAATGTTTCGAATATGTATTGGACAATTAGAAAGGAAAAGATGGCTGTAGTATTGTTTTCACATGCAAAATTTCAGGTGCTGTGTTATGATTTAAATAGCGTTTGGGGACCAGCCTGGGAATCTCGTTTAGAACTTAAAAAGATGTAACACTGATTCCAGATTGCTCCTTTCTATTTCCTTTATGCTGTCATAGTTTTGAGTACTTTTCGGTAGTGCTGCCCATAAAAACATTTGTGCTTTAACTGTCAGCCACATATGTGCAATTCTAAACTTCTTAGGAGCCACGTTAAAAGGTTAAAAAAATGATGAGATTAATTTTGATAATATATTTTATTTAACCCAATATATCTGAAGTGTTATTTCAACATGCAATCATTATAAAGTTATTAATGTAATACTTGATTTTTTTTCTTGTAAAGTCTTAAAAACCCATGGGGTGTTTTACCTTAGAGCACATCTCAGTGTGGACTGGCCGTGTTTCCCTGCTAGTGGCTGCGTTGAACAGACAGTGCAGGTCGAAAGGTTTCTGGGTTAATAGGAGTAGTTGGTGTGTTTTTTTAAGTTATCAGATTTATGGAAATACTAACCTATGCAGCCGTGAGTTTAATAAACTTTTGGAACAGAGTTGGTTGCTCTTGTTATAAAGAAAGGTGTGGAGTTCTAGATATCTCAGAGGTGTTAGTGAAATGAAGTTTTTTTAAACATTTTGAAAGAGTTAAGTTGCCACACTTAGGGTTTTTGAGGAGCTTTTAGGAATAAAATGGAGGATATATGTTGGAACTTGCTGATTGAGGTCTCAGTATATAGAAAGTTTTAGTTATTTTAGAGCGATTTCTCAGTGATATGAAACCTGTAACTAATGTTTATTTGATTCACGTTATATGTATAAAGGCCTTCTAGACGGATTATCAGGTAAAGAAGGGAGGAATAGAATGTCTGTTCTTTGCAAAATCTTAGCCTTCATGCTTTGATACATCAAAATTAAAATGATTCTCAAACTATTAATGCTTATTTCTTTAAAAAGCCTTTGGTTATTTACTGAAGAGCCATAATACTTAATTTGATTGCTTTTTTGGACATTGCAAAAATCTTACTACGGTTATTTTCATTCTATTCTGTCTTAACATTTACCTTAAATATTAAACTCTTGCTTTAATTAGTACATTCTAAAAAATGTCAATATGTAATAATAGGCCATCTTTGGTAGAGGTAACCATAAGACATTAATGAAGTTATAAAGCAGTACATATTTAATTTTTTCTTTGTTGAGGCAGACACCGGCCTGCAGTGTCCGCGTCATTATAGATGAAATGAGACGTTCACACGGACTTACCGAGTCTGGTGGAAGGAAAGGGACAGCATGGCTTTTCTCTCAAGGGGAGCAAAAGCCAGTGGCTCTTGCCAGGACAGGCCTTTATGGGGTTCTCAGCACATTACATGGTGGTCCTCATTTACTATGCACAAGTTCACTTTAGGTGGTTACCTTTTACAGGAAACAGGAGCTAGTGTCGCTACACACATCACAGAAGAGGGATATTTGCAAATGAAAAGGGCAAAAGTGATTGGACCGGTTACCCTGGTCCTAGGAAGGTTCAGCATGGATTTTAGGAAGTTATTTTGCAGTAAATGTTTGCTACTGGCCACTGGGCCCACGCCACGCAGAATGGTGTCGTACACTTCGTAACATATGTGCTAGCTTTTTGTTATTGTTCCAAGACCAGGTTAATACTGATCGTTTACCTCATTGCTTGAATAAATAATTTGACATTTATTATCTATGTATTATGTACCAGTCACCACCAGATACTGAGAATGGAGATATGTTCCAAGGAGCTCTCAAAATTTTACTTTCTGTAAATTAGGAAATGGATGTATTAAATCTGTTTTTTAAAAGATTTTATTTTTTCATCTTTAGAGGGGAAGGGAAGGAGAGAGAGAGAGAGAAATATCAATGTATGGTTGCTTCTTGTGAATCCCCTGCTAGGAACTGGCCTGCAACCCAGGCATGTGCCCTGACTGGGAATTTAACCTCGGTTGTTTGGTTTGCAGGCCCGCACTCAATCCACTGAGCTATGCCAGCCAGGGCTAAATCTGTTTAAAATAGTGATATTTTATTTTTCTAAAAAATATATATAAAAGCTTTACAAATATTTTTTAAATTATTATAGCTCTTTGATGTTATTTTCTATATGCAGAAGAAAAATTTATTGAGGACAAGAGATTGTCTTAAAAACACTTTAAGTCTTCACTCCTAGAATTCAGCGCTAAAATTAGAGTATGCTTAGTTCCTCTCATCTTTTATTTCCTGTATATACTTATTATGACATATGTAGTAAGTCTTGTTTTACAAGGCTTACTGGTTTGGCTATTTTTACGACTGTCTTTCAACTCCTACACATGAACCTTCCAAGTAGATTGCTAATGTGTACCATTTTGATGTTGAGCAAGTAGGTAGATGCATTTTTAAAATATCAAACTATGAGTAAACCAATAAAAACGTATGGTTATTTGGTACTACCTGCTTTGAAAACATGAGAATTGTTACATATTATATTTTCCATGACTGCTATTTGACAATGGGCTCTGCAGATTTAAATTTTTTAATGAAAAAAGAATGAAGGTAATATTAAAGTAATTTAAATTACAGCATTTAAAACTTGTACTTGCCTCTCTTAAAATATGCCAAGGGACCTGGTACCCTCAGACCTGGTACACTTTCAGACCTGGTACCTCAGCCATCTTGTTCCTTTCCCCTGAGGACAACTTTCTTGGAAATCCCTCCAGAGATAGTCTGTACCTGCAATGATACACTGCATTCACCCCCTCCCTCACATATGTTGTAGTGTATTGTAAACACTTCTCTGTACTTTGTTCTTCAACTTAACAGTCGATCTTGGAGATTGTTTCACTCATATACCTCTGCCTAAAGAAATTCTTAATTCTATTTTACAGCTGCACAGTGAAAATAGAATTATTAAATCATCCCAAAAGACTTAACATGGTAGATGTTGAGCCGTTGTTACAGTGAATGAACTTAATATTTTTTCAATACAAATATCAGAAGTTTCTTTCTGTCATGTACTAGATAATTTTTATTATGGGTTGAGAAAATGTTTAAACAATTTTTCTCCTTTTTTCAGATAACCAGACAGCTCAATGGAGTCTGAGCAACTGTTCCATAGAGGTTACTATAGAAACAGCTATAACAGCATAACCAGTGCGAGTAGTGATGAGGAGCTTTTAGATGGAGCAGGTGTCATTATGGACTTCCAGACTTCTGAAGATGACAACTTGTTAGATGGTGACACAGTAGTTGGTAAGTTTGGCTTTACAACTCTTCATATTTGTAGTCATGATAATCTATGAACCTGTATATTTTTGTTTTATTGAGTTTGCGTTTTTTGAGTAACTTTTTAAAAATTGAGGTGATCCGTGTAAAACCACTTTTAAAGTGTACCATTTGGTGGCATTTCACACACTCACAGTGTTGTGCAACTATTGCTTCTTTCCAGTTCCAAACAAACATTTTCATTACCCCAAAAGAAAGCCTTGTATTTGGATGAACTTTAAAATTTAAACATAACGTGACGCAGAGATATACACAACTGTAATCGGGGTTCTCCGAGGAACAATTAATAGGATTAATACTGATATGTAGGAAGATACTTATGAGCGATTGACTCACATGACTGTGGAACCTGAGAAGTCCCATGAACTGCTACCTGTGAGTTGGAGGCCCAGGGAAGTTGCTGGTATAATTCTAGTCCAAACCCAAAAGCCTGAGAACCAGGGGAACCAGTGGTGAAGTCCCAGATTGAGCCCTGGATCCTGGAGCCCTGATGTCCTAGGGCAGAAGAAGACAGATGTGCCACCTCAAGCAGAGAGCAAATTCACCTTTCTGCTTCATTGTTCTATTCAGACCATCAACTGAGTGGTGGCAACTTTCTTTGGTGAGGGCATGTTTTTTCAGTCTCCCAAGTCAAATAAGTGCAGTCTCTTCTGGAAGGACCCTCACAGACACATATGCAAAATAATGTTTTACCAGCTATCTGGGCATTTCTTAGTCTGGTCAAGTTGACACACAAAATTAACTGTCACAACCACCATCAAATTTTAAGTGTGGAAACTGATGAATTTCTACAAAGTGAACACCTCATATAATTACCCCTCTATCAAGAAAGAAAACATTATCAGGACCCCCAGAATCTTCCCTTGTTTCCCCTTCCAGTTTCAAAGGTAACTACTATTTTGATTTCTATTGCTGTACATTAGTTTTCAGGTATTTACTTTTATATAAATGGAATTTTATATATAAACTTTTGGGTCCAGTGTCCTTTACCAATGTTTTGAGATTCACCTATGTTGTTGACTATAGCAGTAGTTAATCTGTTTTCATTGCCTTGTAGTACCCATTGTGTAAACATGCTGCAATGTATCTATTCTATCCATTCTGCATTGTTGATGGATATTTAGAGGGTTTTTTTCCAGATTGTGGTTGTTAATAAAATACTAATGCTGCTGTGAATTTTCATGTACATATGTTTTCACACACATTATGTAGACAGTTCTGTGCATTTATGTCTTGGAATGAAATTCTTAGGTGACAGGGTATGTGGATCGTAGTGCTGCCAGATACTGTCGAAGATGCTTCCAAAGCGCTTGCAGCACACACACGGTACCACTCCTGTGGGAGCGCCTGGTTTGTTCCACGTCTTCACAAGTTCTTGTTTAAAAAAATTTGGCTCTTCTAGTGTGGGTTCAGTCATCTTGAATTTTGATCTTAATTTACATTTGCAGATGGCTTATGAGTTGAAGTGCCTTCTGTGTGTTCATTGGCTTTTTAGATCGCCTCTTTTGAAGTGCTCGTTCCAGGTTTTTTTGGGTTTTGTTTGCCTATTTTGAAAGAGTTCTTTATGCATTCTGATTATGGGTTCTTTCTCATGTATATGTATTGCAAATTTCTTACCTGTCCGTGGTACATCTTTTCACTCTTAGTAGTATCTTTTAATGAATATGTTGCCAGTTTTAATAAAATCTAGTTAATCTTTTCCTTTTCTCTTTGTGTTTTTGTTTTCAGATATGTTCCCATACCTCAAGGTCATGAAGATCTTTTCCCATTTTCTTTTAGTTTTATTTTTTGTGTCTGTCACACTTATAATCTACTTGCAATTAATTTTTGTATTGATATGAGTTAAGGGTTCAGATTCATTTTTTTCCGATATGGAGAACTAGTTGACCTAACACCAGAGGTTTTTTTAAAAAATAATTTTGTATCTACCAGAAGATATAAGAGATTAATAAAAGGTCTAAAATTTATATTCCATGTGACAAGGTCATGATAATTTTAGCTATGATAAATTTGAAAGGAAGTAGTTATCACAGACATTTAAAAAGAATAAAGCATTCTCCCAGTATCCACAAGATGCCTGTCTTTGAGTAATATTTGACTATATCTTTTGAGTAAATAGTTCTGAGACTTTTTGTTTTCAAAATCTCTTTATTCTTAAAAGGTTATGCCGAAGCCCTTGACTGTTGTGGCGTAGTTGGTTCAGCCTCCTACTGCATAGTGAAAGGTCACCAGTTCAGTTCTGGGTCAGGGCACATGCCTGGGTTGCAGGTTGGGTCCCTGGGGTGCAGGAGAGGTAACTGATTGATGTTTCTCACACTGATGTCTCTTTCCTCTCTTTCTACCTGCCTTCCTCTCTCTCTAAAAATAAATAAATAAATCTTTTTAAAAAACTACTAAAGACTCTAACAAGCTTTTTTAAAAAATGTACATTACAGCTATTAATATTTACCATATTTAAAATTTAAAGAAAAATTTCAATACTTTATTAATTCATTTTAAAATAACATTAACTCAGTACATTATAATGTTAATAATATTTATAAATAACTATATTCTCCAAAATAAAAATAAGAGAAGAGTGGCATTGTTTCACGTTTTTATAAGTAACGGCTAGCCTGATAGAAAACTAGTCTTTGTTGCTTCTGTGTTTGATTTGTTGTGATACATTGGTTGGTTGGAGCATATAAGAAATATGTGCTTATGCATGTACATACACATATATAGTTGCTTTTTGAACGAAGTGGGTTTGAACTGCACAGGTTCACTTGTATGTGGATTTTTTTCCCAATAAATATATTGGAAAGATTTCTTTTGAGATTTGATAAAACCAAAAAGTATGTAGACTAGGAAAATCAAAAAATTAAGAAAAAGTTAGGCATGTCATGAATGCATAAAATATGTATATATTTTGTTTTCCATATGATTTTCTTAATAACATTTTCTTTAGGCAACTTTATTGTAAGAATGCAATATATCATACATACAAACTATGCGTTAATTGACTATATTATAGGTAAGGTCAACATCAGACAGGCTATTAGTTTTGGGGAAGTCAAAAGTCATACATGGGTTTTTGACTGTAGGGTGGAGTAGAGTTGCTGGTGCCCCTAACAACGCCCCCTCCCAAGTTGTTCAAGGGTCAACTGTATGAGAATACCAGTATGCATTTGTAAGAAGTATATAAGAAAATTTGACCTTATACAAATACATAGTTCGAAAAGGAAGAATCATTTAAATGTCCTTTCAGATCATTTTGGATATTCTTCTTTAATACTAAACCAAAACTCGACAAATAGTAATTTCTTAAAGGTTAACTGCAGTGTGGAAACTGAAACCATATTAATGAGCATTTTATGCCACGTGAAATTGAAATGCATTGGCCTGTCTTGTGCTCTTGAGTGGATTTTATTACCCATGCATGCTTTTATAATATCACGTATTAGTCATTTGGAAATCAATTCACTGATATATTAGTTTGCTAGGACTGCCATGACAAAGTACCATCTATTGTGTGGCTTAACAGAAATTTATTTTTTCACAGTCCTAGAGGCTAAAGGCACAATATCAGGGTCTCGGCAGGGTTATTTCTTCTGAGGCCTTCGCTTGTAGATGGCTGTCTTCTCCCTGTGTCCTCACATGGTCTGTGTGTATCTGTGTCCTAGTCCCTTTTTATAAGGACATTAGTCATATTGGCGTAGGGCCCACCTCAGTGACCTCATTTAACATTAACTACCTTTTTAAAGGCCCTGTCTCCAATACAGTCACGTTCTGGGTACTTAGTGTGAGGGCTTTTATTGTAGGAGTGTCGGAGGGGCACAGTTGAGCATATAGCACATTTATTCAGATCTTGCTAGTATTCACACATTTTATTACACAAAGTCATTATATTTTTAAATATTGCCACCCATCTCACAGTCCCATCATAAGTCTTTAAATGTTGGGAAGCTGTCAGGTGCACAGTGGTGAATACAAGATTTCCAAATTTAATTTTTGCCTGAAAGCTCAAATCTTATTATTGGCAACAAATACTGTTTATTGTTTTACTTGAAGAGACAGTTTCACTTGATTCATTTTGAGAAAAATGTCTGCCAGAAACTAAGGTCCAAGTAACTGTAGTTTCTGTATCAGTTGTGTGTTTGAATAAAAATGATGTTTCATGAAAAAAGCAGCCACAACTCCAAAATCCACGAGTGATTTTTCTCAAGATGGAACCATTGTTCCACCGTATAAGCAAAAGTACTTTACGTATTCTTCCCATCTATCACACAGAATATTAAAAGGATGTACGTTCAAGAGTTGCCATTTAATAGAATGAAAATTTTTATATTTTTATGTAGGACATTTGGAATGGTCACAGGCCTTTTGGTTTTGGGGCATGCATGAGGAAAAGTATTTGATGACTACTAGTATATTTTGGTGCTACTGCTTTGATTTGTGCTAGATGCAAGCCATTGTACCCACTATTGCTGTAATACCATAAATAGAATGAAAAGACAAACAACATTGTATAGACTGCATAATGGCATCTACATTACTTGTAATGTATCTATGTGATCTGTAAGTATGTGACTTTACAAGATAAAAGGGATTTATTGAGTGGTTTTGATTTAATAAAGAGATAATGGAGAGATTATCCAGGATTATCTGGGTGACTCCTGGTAATCACAAGGGTCCTTAACAGAGGGAAGAGGGTGGATTAGAGTCTGATGAAAGATGTTAGAGTGGTAAGAGCAAGGGGACAGGAGCCAAGGAATGTAGGCAGCCTCCAGAAACGGACAAAAAACAAGGAAGCAGATTCTCCCCTGAAGCCTCCAGAAGGAATACAGTCCTGCAGACACCTTGATTTTAGACTTCTGACTTCCAGGATTGTGAAAGAATAATCTGTATTGTTTTAAGCCATGAAGTTTGTGGTAATTTGTTACAGTAGCAGTGGGAAACTGATAACATATATCACTTAAATACATAAA